CAATTTGTCACAGCATGAGGTTGTGTTGTCTATTCATAGATGCTATACTAGAGCCGTTGGATACAGCTTAATAATAAAAATATTTATATTTTATTCCTTTCTTTGTTCTTGTGGTCCATCTATAACACTGCTGCCTCCTTTGAGAAAGCACGCAGAATCACTCTCGAGGAGAAAAGACAGTGCAGAAAGAATCGTGTCTTGTAGAACATACCACCTAAGGAGTCTTTCTGCTGTGCCTTTTGCAATCGGATATGTCTATCTCGTATTGGCCTTATTAGCCACCAGCGCACTTGTAACAAATGTGGATAGAGCCTTTCCAAAATCTTTGTTCGCAAAGCCCAGCCATGATGATGATATATTTTTTTCCTTTCTTTGTTCTTGTGGTATTTCTCACTGTCACAGACAGTTTGTTTAGATTGTTTACAGCTCCTTCTTGTTTGCTTTTATGGAGTTTCTAGAGCACGTATGATAGTTCACTGTGTTTTTCTTTCTTCTTGATACACCACTTTATTGCTCAGATGGCAGAAAGAGGTGATCATTGGAGTATATAGGTACAATTACTCTTTCTGATTTAGCATAGCACTCCTAAATTTGTTCATTTGATAAGACCAAAAATATGCAAAACACATAAAGGACATTTTTATGTTCATGAAACATGATATTTTAGATCATGTAAGACCTAGGTAATTTTTGTCATATTTATTAATTTGTGCATACAATAGAGTGGATTAGTCTACATTTGAAATGCCTCTTTCTCTTGACTGTCTCTGTCTCTTCCCATCACCATTACAGCCTTTATATCACTGTCAAAATGCTGGGTGTTTTTCCTCTTTCTTGGCAGTTAAAGTAATAACATTCTTAATTCCGTGTCAGTCTTACAACTCTACACACAGTCATCCTTTAGCTGGTTACTGTTTCTTTAAGCAGAAGTATTAACACAAGAATAAATGCCTAAACTTGATAAAACCAAGGAACAGTAAAACTCTCTTAGCTAAATTTCAATTTCACAGGTACAAGCATTTTAGATATTAAAAATAAATGAAGAACCAGTTCTCTTCTTTTGAACTAATTCTGTTTCTAGTATAACAAAATGACATGCTTCACTGCCCACGCTCCCTATGCCAAATGGATTTTCTCTTCAGCTTTTACAGTATTAATATCTGTGATTTCTCAAATGCACACCTATAGCTTGGTATTTTTATTGCTTTCTGAGTGTCTTTGGGAGGACTCTATCCTTTGTTTTGGTCACTATGTTAACAATTATTATCTAAGGTTGCAGATGAAGTAAAAGTACATTTATAAGGGAATTTAGAGACCAGTAGTGTTAAGATCAAGAAAATAACCGCTGTCAGCAACAGGCTCATGATTAGAAGGAGAAAAGTACCTAGTGGTTCCCTGCTTTTCCTTTTTAATCTTCTGTTCACCAGGCCTTCAGTTTATTATCTTGTTTCAAATCTTTTTCAAAATGTCAGGAAGAGTCATATAAGTCATAGGTTAAGAGCCCTGAACTGCAGTGAGCTTTTTTTCAATACTTTCACAGAAGAAAGGTAATAAAGTCTTATTTTGTCCTAGTTAAAATGGCACAGAGTGCAAAATGCAGTTGCAAGAAATTATATCTAAATGCGAAATTTAAAGAAACTGTGCAAAAAGCTAGACTCCTCACTGTTGTTTAGTAAAGCTCTAATCCTAATGGCCATTTGCTTTCCAAACTGTTTAGAAATTTTATTTTCTTTTCTGAAATCTGTTCTTAATTCAATCATAATAAAAAAAAAAAATCAAATAGGAACAATAGCCCATTTAATCTCAGTGGAGTTAGTTAGAGCTGAAAGAAAGAAGGAATGGTCTCCATCTCTCTCTCCATTACTGTAGGAGAACCTAAATTCAAAAGCACAAAATATTTTCGATCCCTGTATAATCCATTCACTTAAGAGTTGGACTTGATGATCCTTGTGCATCCTTTCCAGCTCAGAATATTCTGTGATTTTGTGATGTGAATACAGTCAAGTGCTTGGACATGGTTATAGGAACAAAACCCTATTACACCTTTCACATATACCAGAAAACTGAAGGGTACTGCTATGAGGTTCAGAAATGGACAGCAGGAGCAATTCCATGGATGTCCTTCTTACTGACAGTGTGGACTGGAAGCTAAACTAAAACAGCACCTTTGGTTAGTTGCCTTTATACCCTACCCAGAATTTGATTACACAGCTCCTCCATGGTAGCCTGTCAAACATGTTTGGTCTTCACAATATGGATTGCCTTAAAGAAAGCTTAGATTTTATGTAGCTCCCTAAGAGAAAAGACCGATTTTTCAGGAGTGATTGCATGCAACGAGTCCTGTTGTTGGGATAAAAAATTAAATGAAGGGTGCTGACTTTTGCAGGTGTGTGTGTAAGAGAAAGAGGTATAAAACAGATGAATTTTGATGATAAACAAAACTGAGCTCCTCTCAAAATATAACTGGTTCTATGATTCTATTTGATTATTTGTTGTTAGTTTGGGGTTTTTTTAATACTGGTGTATCAGTTGATACCTAGATTAATAACCAAAGGAATTTTTTCCAAAATGGAGTTCTTAGGCTATGCTACCAACTGGTTAGCAGTGCTATGCCTTCACCATTGCCTGTTTGATAGAAGTGTGGATCTTTGGCTTCCCACCTCTATTCACAGTACGGGGATTTAGCACTGTGTGGTTTCTATTGTTGCATAAAATACTGTCTTTTGAAATAATTTCTTGAGTAAAAAACATAAATATACCTAGTAAAGAGTAGAATAAAAGATTTTATTATTTTATATAAAAAAACAAACACTGTATATTTAACTAATATTAAACCCTAAAAATTAGTGCTGAGGTGTATTTTCTGAGACATATAAAAAAAAATTGCATCTGACCTTTGAACAAATTCCTTTCATTGCTGGAATGTCAGTGACTGAACTATAAAAGTGACTACATGAGCAAAAGACCTGTGATTCACCTCTCTCCCAGTATCACCCTATATCAGCAGAGAGTTTCAAACTTAACTTTTAGTAGAACTAGCAATAGCAAAGACTATTAAAATCTCCCATACTATTCTACATTCTATAAAACTGCAAAATTTTGCCACAGTCATACTTAAAATTTAAAATATTAATGTTTAAGATCTTGCTACATTAAGTATATTTTCACCTCTAACATGGTAGCTTTTTGTACACTGATTCCTTTTTTACTATTTCTCTCATTTTAAAAATAATTAAATAAAATTGAAATGTGATAGCTAAAACCTTTCCTAGATTAAAAAACTTGGAACCTGATAATCTACTATGGGTGTGGCTTTCCATACACAAATGCTCCAACAATTAGCTCTCTCGATAATGCATGAAAATACATTTGGGTATTTGCAAATGCAAGATTGCATGCACGCACCATAAAACTTCATTATACTTATCTGTGAAAATGAAGACCTCAGTTTCATCCTTAGAATCCTAGGGGATGTCTGTGCCAGGTTAGATAATTCCTGCATCCATGCTGCTGTGATACGCTGTCATATGTGTCAGAAAACACACAGTCAACTCACAAACTCGTATGTACGCTGCCTAAGAAGCAATCAGAGGCAGAAGTAAAGCAGGCTGTACCCAGTTTATGAATTTTGTGAGACCTGAGTGGAATATTCATATTCTTAATCGGATGCTCTTAATTCATTTGCCCTCCTGTTCCCTTTCTACTATACAACAGACTGTATCCCTCTCTGACAGCTGAAGTCTGTGTCAATGACAATACTAATCCCTGCCACGCCTGCCCTCACTCATTGTTCTGACATGGCAGCAATACCATTTCAGTTTTTGTTGGCATCCTAGCAGACAAAAATGTGCTGTGCACCATCCATCATGACTGTCCTTGGGGGCATATGTCACCAGGAGTAGCATATCCTGAAAAACCTGTTGAACCCAAACCTGAGCCGCTGTCATCTTCAAGTAAGTTTTGTCTTCCTTCAGGAATAGTCCTTCACACTCAACTGTATCACCCATGTTCCCAAACTGCAACAGGTATCAGAGAAACAAACCACACAGTTTTTAATTTGGAGAGTACAGCCAGATATTAATTATTCTGTGGGCAGGTTTATTTTGCACATCTTGGAAAGAGGGATTGTAGACTTTCAATATCTGATCAGGATTTGAGGAGCTGCGATCTCTTAAGCGCAGCAGGTTTGAGCACTGTTTTCAAGGGAGATGTCAAATACTGGACTAAGCATTTGAGTGTATGTAAAGCAGATATAGATCTTTCTGTGTTACTTGCTGCAAACAGAACAACAGTTAGAACAGCTTCTATTACCAGACAAAATTAGATGGAAAACTGTGCTGACAAAAACATTAATCCACTCCAAACAGTGTTGTATCCCTCCCACATGAGAACTTGGGAATACCTTGAAGTGAGTACTGCATTTCTGGTGGGTAACTGATACTTGATCTTGGCCAGAATCCACTTATATGAACTGCAGCTGAGAAGCATTTCCATGTCTTGGTTCATGATTTTTTTTCTAATAAGATCAACCTTTAAAACTCTTTAAAATGGGAGACAGGGAGGAAATAAAAAAAGGCTTTTGGGGTGTAAAAGCAAAATAAAGAACACAGTGTGCACACAGAAAGGATTAATTGTCATTATTTATCCTGGAGTCTTTATGGGAGTGACTCAGTATCCTAGTGAATGGCATAGAATGAAATAGTGAATGAAATGTACTACAATTTATTGTTTCCCAATGTTATTTTAATGTCTGTGTGGATCACTGTATAAAAGGAGAATAAGCTAGGAAAGGGACGCAGCTGCTGCTTAGACAGCAATGCATGGAGTGAACTGAGTGGACACTACAGATAGCACGATGCTGTGTACTCAAGCACACAGCCATGTTATGTATAACACTTCTTTTTCAGAAATACAGCTGCAAACCTTGCTGAATCAGATGGAATTTCTTTCCCATTATCACTTTTGGAACACCTCCATTACAGGTCACAACATCTGAATCCCTAGGAGGCTGTGTTGCTAGATGTACTTTTTCCTTTTCCCCAAAATAAAGCAGCTTGGGTTGATAGCGATCATATGAATGAGCAAGAGACAAATGTAAAAGATGAAAACCTTTTTCTTTCTTACTAGAGTTTCCTAAGACTCTACTTCCCTGAAATAAAAATAAACAAAACAAAACAAAAAAACCTAACCAACCAACAAACAAACAAACAAACAAACAAAAAAGTCCAGTGGTCTGATTTATACGATACATGGTTGAATGGTGAAAAAGTAACCTAAATCTGACTGACTTGAATGGAAGGTTACACTAACACTGAGAGCTTAACTGTCATCCAAAGTCGTCTCCTTTCTTACAAGACCACTGCTTTTCCATTCTGACCAAATTGCTTGGAAAATAGGTAAAAAAAATTTTCAAGTATGCAATTATAACTGCTTATAAGATTCATAAGAAGAATCACTCATCATGGGAAAGGACTGTAAGGTTGAGGTTACAGCGGAGTACAGGTTTGCACAGCTGCCTGTAGGCTGTTGAGTCAATGTATATCAGGCCAGCATAAATATTTTTAAGGCTTTGTACCTTTGGCTCGGCTTCCAAGCAAAACCAGTATGTCATGATGCTAACAGCAGTGTCTGATAAGGAGCTGAACATGAAGAAGCAAAAGATTAGGAGACAGTATTCCGAAGCAATATGTTGAATCACATTAATTTTTATTCAGAGGGTTCATTCAGCCCATTGTTTTTCTCTGGACATTTTTGTTTTTTGCAATGTAAGATTTAGGGATCTTATTTATTCTTGAATTAAAATAGCAATGGTAAGGCTTTAAAAATCTGCCTGCATCTTTCATCTCTCTTTGTACTCCCTTCCTCATTTTAAATGACAGGTGTGAGATTAGTGGTTTATGCAGTATGTCCAGAAGATTAATGTTTCCAGGTGAGCTTAGAGACCTGTTCCATTTGAACAGCCACCAGAATTTCTCATTACATAGCGGAGAAAAAAAAAAAGAAAGAAAGAATCTATCCATTCTAAAAGCTGCAGGTACTGAGATTTAAGTTAGGTCCTTGGCACCAGTCTTGCTTTAACAATAATGATAGATAAGAGTGTCAGATATGACATTTCTGAGATTAGAGAGTGTTTTGTTTGCTCTATAGAGTAATTGGCTCCAGCATCCACTTCAACAGCAATCATTAAGTCCAGATTTGGGAATTCAATATTCTTTAGTGTTCCTTTGCAATCTTCTATTTTCAGAAACTGTGTGACAAAGACGATTTGCAAAACTTAACAAATAATTGTTCCAGCTGAAAACACACGCTTCTATTGTAAATATTTTCACACACAAGTATACACAGGCAAATATATATAGTAAAAGGAAAATGCAGGAACCTTGGGTTTACAAGGGTGAAAATTTTAATCTGGGGGGTTTGGGGGTTGTGTCTGTTTTAACTTCATGATGAAATTGGAGAAGAAACACTATGGCTTTCAATGAGATTCAGTGCAAAAATAAGGATTCCGAACTCCTTACAGGAATTTGATATAAGCCAAAAAAGCCTTTGAGGATGTGAATGTTCAATTGGTGTTCATTGTCTTGTCTAGCTCTATGTATTTCATATCCCAACTGCAGCAGAGATTAGCTTCCGAAGCCTTTTTACAAACATTTGTGTTGTGTGTTTATGTGTAGTTTGCTCAATAAATTGGGAATCTCACGGTCCAACAGATTTCTGGGGGAAAGAATTAACTCAGAGTGGAGGAGCTCTTGGTTCCTTTGATTTCTGAGACAAAATGACATATTTTCTGAGTGGCTAATAGAAATCGATAGTTTGTATGGCAAAGCAAATGTAAATAGAATGTTACTGGGAAGTATAGAAGAAAGTGAATCCAGTTAAGGTAAGAGAGTGGTGAATGTTCAATGAGAACTTCACTAGCACTGTGTATTAATATGCATGGATATTTATACTTTTGCTTCTTTAAAATTTAACTGAAATATGTCATATGGTCCTTTTGGTAATACTTTTGATATTGGGATGTGATTTAATGAATTTCAAAATAGTTACTTTATTTCCTAATATGATTTTTAGTAACCTCTTACATTTTTTCCTTGATTCATTATTTGTGCAAATTTATGTCATTGGTAATATATAGTACACCTTAAACCACTTATGGGAAAACCACTTATGGGAAAACCTCTGAAGCAGCATATAAAGTGTATCTGCATGCAAGATCAAATATAAATTTACAAAAGTAACAGCAGAAGTCCAATAAATCGCGGGGAGAAGGGTGATGTTGTATGTTTAGAGAAAGGGTTTTTGACATCACTTCTATGATTTCAGTTATTACTAATGAGTGAAATGAAAAAGGGTTTGAGGGGATGAAGGATAAGGGGATCATAAGGCCAAAATATTGCTCATTTTTTTTTGAGAAACAAATTTTTTTTCATTAAAAAATACACCAATGTGATTTATCAGCAAGAACAGAGTAATAGGACATTTATGTAGTCAGCAAGGCTATTTGAAATTGTAGTAATTTCAGGTTCCAGCTAGTACCAGTTAGGTACTAACAAAATCAGTATGGGAGGAAAGATAAAACATCATACTTTAGCATTTAAAGTAATCCTAAACTACTAAGCATTTTAGGAGGAGGATCATACTGAGATAATAAGAGAATGGAAGGAAAATAATCTTGTTTCTAACTAGTTTGAGGTTCTTGTGGCTACTGCCAAAGCATCTGGGGCAGCTGGAGGCAGAAAACTACAGTATGTGAACTATCAGTTTTTCAAGATATTGCATTTTCTCTATTCCTATCAACTCTTTTTATATTTTCCTTGCAGAAATGCCAAAGCGATACAAATAAAACAACACTGCATATCATTTGTTTTGAAGCTCATCAGTATTTCCAATTATTAAATGTCTTGCTTTTGCAATAAGCTTCTATGCTGTTGCAGTTTGGTTGTCGAATTGAATCCACTGAGCAACTTCATGCATCAGCATGAAAGAGAGTTAGAACATGGCTAGAACCTAGGCATTGCTAAAATGCAAATATTGGATTTGTCATAGCTTTCTTTTTTACATCACCTCCACAATAGTATTTTCTTCTATATGCCAAGTATCAATGGAATTATCTCCACTTCTGCTGCCCTTCTATTTAACACAACCCTGACATTTTAATAAAAATGGTAGGCTTTATGTTAGTGAGTACCACAGGGCATATCACTGCTATGTTATTTTATAATACTAAAACTATAATAGTATAAGGGAGTATTTATAGTTTTTGCAAGATAACATGTGAGCTAATTCTGTGGATGTCCGTCACATGATATACAATGCTTGTGTTACAAAGACAAAACTTTTCAGAACCCTATTGCATGATATACTGGATATAAGGAAATTCTTTTTCACAGTGGGGGTGGTGAGACTGCACCAGGAGGTACCACCTCTGGAATTGTTTAAGGCCAGATTGGACAGGACTTTGAGCAACTTGATCTAGTGAAAGATGTCCTTTACCATGGTAGGGGAGTTGGACTACTTGATGTTTAAAGGTCCCTTCCAAAACACACTATTCTGTAAATCTATGAGTCTATAATTTGGGACACAAGTTTTTGTAAAGTTGACACTGAAAAAATTATTGTATCTCAAAGGAAATTCTAGAAGACTTGTGCAACAAAGTGAATTTGGAGCTTGAAAAGATCCCCCTCTACTGATCCTCTAATTCAGAAAACCTGGAAAATGAAGATTATGGCCAGAAAGAGGGTATATAGAACAACTGGAAGTAGTTAGGACTAGTTGTTTTGGGGCAGTTGACTTATTCAGCTGAGGTGAGACTAAGATGAAAGCTTAGATCATCTAAGAAAAGAATAGAGAAAATTAGAGGGAAAAATTCAGGTCAAAGAATGAAGATAAAATCAGACATGTTTTGGAGAGGAATGTTATTAGAAAGTGGTGGAAGTGCTTTTGGGACTGCAGAGGTCCGTTTCTGTCTCCCCACCAGCTTCGTGTGATCAGTGAATGCCATTGCTCCAGACTCAGTCAAACCCGCAGCATGATTCCTCTTGATCTGTTTGTCAGCCTGGATGAAAGCCTGTGGGAATACCCTCAAGATCAGATGTATCCTTGAATGTTTTGACGGTAAAGATCAGGGTGTCAAAAGTCACCCCTCAGTGATGACTGTAATGCCAACAAACCCCAGCCAGCCTTTCAGAGGCACACACTGCCCTCACACCTAACAGCACCTTGAAAGTGTCCATCAACATTTTCTGCCCCAAACCATCACCTGCTGCCCCTGCTTCCTGCCCCTGGAGCTACTAAGACCTCCTGCACAACCCAGGAAAGGCCCCAGGCTACAACGTGCAGAATGACATGTGCATTGCAAGCATTGCTGTGGAAGCTATTCTGCTTGTGACACCCAGAGAACCTTGGCTAAATTTGTTTTTCAGATTTATGAGAAAATGCACTTGGAATGTAATCAAACTTTGTTGAATGTCCAAAATATATGGTTAACAAGTCCATACAAAATAATCTTAGTAATTTTTTGTAAAATGTTGCTATTGTGATTGTTATTTTAGGAAAAAATAATTTTTCTTTCTGTTTTAATTAATAAAGTCGACCATGTTCAGGAAAAATAGTGAGAAAGACAAAAGGATTGGGACAATGGGAATTGTGAACTTTTTCATATACTACAGATTTCAATTGTCATGAAAAACTGTTGCTAGGACCATGAAGCTAACATTAGTAGGAGAGTTAGATAAAAGGCCGTGGGGTAGAGAAAGCAGCCAAGTATTAGAAAGAAGAGAGAAAAAATATAGTTTGAAGACAAGTTGAAAATGACTCAGGTTCAGGGCATGTTCCCTAGAGTAAATCATATTGAAATCTGAAAGAAGTATATGAGGGACTTTCATGCTCTATCTGCACTACACTGTTTAATGTTGCTGCTTGGGGCTAATTGCAATGCTGAGAAACTCAGACATCTAGTCAACATGAAGCTTTGTCTGGGTCTCATGGTAATAACTATCTTTTGTTATCAGAGAAAAGAAGTAGAGTTTTTGTTGTCTGCTGCCTTGTAATGGTTGTGCTTCATCTGAAAGACGACAGATGCTCTATTTCCTATTTGTAAACAGCATCTTTACCGTGATCAAGAGAAAGCAAAGACCATCCTTGCACACCTCACTGGAAAAAAAACAAAACTGTAAGTCAAGGCCCAGTTCTGTTTCTCATTAACAGCAACAATGAGAAGGTAGAGTGTGAGCAGGGGTTGGGATATTATGAGAGTCCTTGCTTAATTTTTTTGTTGTTGCTGGATAAGCTTATAATTAAAACAGTTTCTTTTTTCCTGAAGATAACAGAAAGTTCTTGAGGTACTTTTCCATTGCTTTCTTGTATCCTCATGGCAATGTAAATCTTCTACATGTGCAGAATTTGCTAGTACATGTGTTAAACAAGCACTTGGTATGAAGAAATCTTGTTCTCTGGGTGGGAAACAGAAGCTGAAAACTTGATTAAATTAAAAGGATCTTCTTACAGGAAAACTATACTGGCCTGCCTCTATAGTTAGGCTCTGGTGGGGTGAAGTGCATGTGTGACAACCAGCTTCATGGCTACCATGGCACAAACCATGCTGGGGGTTTCTGCAGTTAACACCCAAACTCCAACAGTTCTTACAGAGCTGGTCTGCAGATAAGTGGCTATGGCCACATAGTCCACTTGTAGCCGAGTCTGAATCTCTTGCATCTGCAAAACAACAGTGTGGAACGTCCTGTAGAGGAACCCTCAAGCCCAGTGCTGAGGAGGAGGAGTGGGCAGGGTTGCCAGAAAGAGAGTTTCTCTCCTTCCCATAGGAATCCCTTTACAAGACATGCCCTGTTCTCTGTGGTGTTCCTTCCCCTGCAGCCCAGTACCCCAGCATGATTCCTGCCATATCACAGTAGTTGATCTGCAGGGATTCAAGTACCAGAAGAGAAGCAGTTTGTGAGGTCTTGGCCACTGACTCTGCAGTCACAGTGCAGTCCATAGGCAGTCCATCAGAGGCCACAAATAAGCACTGTCCCTTTCCCAGGCAGAAGTGATACCTCTCCACTGGGCACGGACATGGACCACTGCCAGCTGTACAACCAACAGGGCCAGGAAGTTCTGCCCAGTGACTTAGTTGTTACTTGGGGTGGGAGGTGAAGGGATGGCAGCAAACATAAAAGCAAAGGTAGAACAATGTTCCACCTCAGCTGTGAAGTACCCTAGCATCCGTTCTGCAGCTGACTGCTTTCTCCAAGACCCTGAATGGTTTGTGAGGGGCACAGAGACAGGTCAGAATTTCCCCTTTTAGCTGTTGCCTGTCCTCACACTAATCCAATTCCCTGGGGAACAGAAAAAGCTTTCCTGCAAGACAATGCCTGTCACTTTTGTTACTGAATGGTGTTAAGAGTGATAGCTTATATAATCTTACAGCCTCATTTCATTTTAGCAGTATTTAATGAAAGAAGAAATGGTTGAACAAAGTTATTTCATATACTATTTAACAAGCAGCTCTTTCTGTAGAAGCATTAACAATAGCTGTCATCTTTGTACAAAAAAAGGCTTCCAATTACTTCAATGCTAAGAGAAAATCCAAATGCAGCTGAGAGCCCCACAAGCAAATTATTTTTAATACCATTATGGAAAATGAAAATGTGTGACCCAGACCTTCGTTTAATATTTTACTAGCCTTGAAAGTTAATTTGAGTTTGTGTTCAATTTTCTGGGAAATTTCATCTTTACAGCTGTGCAATTTGGGCACAGAATGGAAAAGAACTGAGAGCTGTCCTTTTCTCTCTGCTTTTTTCACATGCTACAGATGGGGAAAACGGAGTAGATGACATGTAATCAATGGAACATATAAAGAATAAAGGAAGTCTATGATGTAAAAAATGTCATATGACTTCATTAAAATTCCTTTAGCAGGCAGCAGGGAGATTTATAAGACTAGTAGATGGAAGAGTATAAAAAAAAAGATAGATTAGCTTTAGCTTTGCTGGTGTTCAGTTATGCTATAAATCATATGACTACAGGCTTTCTCTAAATTGCATCTACCTCTTGGTCTTTCTTTTCTCTCCCATATACTTTGTGTTATCTGAAAGAGTAGAAAATGCATCCTGATTTCTCTCTATTCGTATCTCTTTCTGTATATAGATTGTAAATCAATTGTGTGAACTCTTTCTCTCTATGTTAATTTGAATTACCATAAAATGTTGGTCGAAAGCATAGCTGGTTTGGAAGTAAACAATGACACCCCTTTTCATTCAAAATTTTAAGTCATGTAAGTGTAGAGTTTTTGAAGGAATGTCTCAGGTTCCGAAACCATTCACAAGAATGTGTGGAAGAACATCTGATGAAACATGTCTTAGAAAATCAGCTTTTGAACCACAGAGGTACTTAGAGTTTCCTTGGCTCCAGGTCTCAGTTTCCAGTCTTTCTGACATGGAGCCCACACTCAGTGGTCACATCATTAATACCTAATCATAGGAACTTGGATCCGTTCTCTTTCACTGGGTGAAATGCCAGTCAGCAGTGGTCCCTGAGTCATGTCCATTGCCTACTTATATCTAGAAACAACTTGGGAGAGTACATGTAAATTGGGGTAAAAGTCATGTCAGGAAACAATTTAATATAAGAGGCAACTGATTACTAGTGCCTAGCCTATTTAATTTAATAGATTAGACATAGCCTGGAACACAGCCTCTTGATTTGCAGCAGAAAGCCTCAAAGCCCCAGTTTTTATGAGCTCAACTAGTGCCTATTGAAGCTTCCTGTTTATGGTATTTGTTTTTGTGAACCAAAACAATTGATTGATTTGGGGTTTGTTTTTTTCTTTTAAATAACCCTTTTAAAAAAATCTGAAGGGCAGGTGGCAAGAAATACTGAAATACTTGTAGGGTATGAATATTTTTTAGGTATCATTGCTTGCACTTACAAAGCCTGTTTAAAGTCAGCTGTTGTCTTCAGGACCAGATTCTCAGGTTGCTTTGCCAGGGAATCTGTGAGCAAAGAACCAAGGCTAGCTGATACTGCTTCTCCAAAAATGGGATGGTCATGCATCAGAGTTTCCCTGGTCATTGACTGCCTAGAGGAGGTAGGCAGTCAATGGTAGGAAACAGTGATAGCAGAAAAGCAGATCCTGTTGTGTGGAGTTGCTCTTTCAGACAAATTTATGTACCCATTGAATACAATCACTGCCCTCTATAATGGTATTCATGCTCTTTTTAAAATTGTTTTACTTTTTGTCATTAACTTCTAAGACCTTTTCAGTATAACTATAAATAAAAATACCATGCTTAAAATTAGATGTATTCTGTTGATGACACACAACTTTGAATGAAATCTAGATCTAATATTTTACCTAAAGTCAGCTATGAGAACAGGAAAATATAGAACTTAAAATGCATTTACTTTAATAAAGTAATATAATTGGATTCTGAAAGCTCAGAGAGATCAGCCTACTGCATTACAATGTGCTGTTCTCTGCATAGTCACTTTTCTATTCATAATGTTTCCTTAGTATTTTGAATTTCAGTGATGATTTTATCTCAAAGTGGATGTCTAAGTGAACATTTATAGTACACAACGGAGAAAGTAATGTGAAAGTCCCTGGGCTGCTCCATTCCCACATAGAATCATACAATCATAGAATATCATAGAATGGCTTCCACTGGAATGGACCTTAAAGATCATCTAGTAGAACCCCCCTGCAATGGGCAGGGACATCTTCCACTAGACCAGGTTGCTCAAAGCCCCATCCTACCTGGCCTTCCAGGGATGGGACAGCCACAGTTTCTCTGGGCAACCTGTTTCAATGTCTCACCATGCTTGCAGTAAAGAATTCCTTCCCGTATGTAATATAAACCTACTCTCAGTTTGAAGCCATTATAACTTGCCCCATCACTTCATGCTCTTGCAAAAAGTCCTTCTCCAGCTTTCTTGTAGACTCTTACAAGTATTGGAAGGTCACTATAAGGTGTCTCTGAAGACTTCTCTGCTCCAGGCTGAACAACTCCAACTCTCTCATCCTGTCGTCATAGGAGAGGTACTCCAGCCTTCTGATCATCTTGTTGGCCCCCATCTGGACTTGCTTAAACAGGTCCACATCCTTTTGTTGCAGATCTGAAAGCTGGACACAGTATTCTAGGTGGCGTCTCACAACAGCAGAGTGGAGGGGCAGAATCACCTCCCTCGACCTTCTGGCCACAATGCCTTTGATGCAGCCCAGGATAAGGTTGGCTTTCTGGGCTGCAAGAGCACACTGCCAGGTCATATCAAGCTTCTCATCCACCAACAGCCCCATATCCTGTTCTCAATCCATTCTCTCCCCAGCCTGTATTCATGCTTGGGTTTGCCCAGACCCAGGTGCAGGACCTTGCACTTGGCCTGAGTTTTACACATGTCCTCACATGAGGTTCCCATGCCTATTAAGGTCCCTCTGGATGCTATCATTTCCCTCCAGTGTGTCAACTGCTCTGCACAGCTTGGTGTCGTTGGCAAACTTGCTGAGTGTGCACTCAATCCCACCGCCTGTGTCACCAAAGATGTTAAATAGCACCAGTCCCAATACGGATCCCTGAGGAATGCCACTCATCAGTGGTCCTCACTTAGAAAATCTACCTATTTAATACTACTTTTTACGTGTGACCATCATCCAGTTCCTTATCTATCAGATGCCCAGTCCATCAAATCCATGCCCCTCCAGAAGCAATGTGAATAACTGTGTATCTTGTCAAGTTGTCTGGTACGTATTCATGTACAAGCACAGTATCTAATTTAACGTCTCTGCATTCCATGGGGTGGAATCATTAGCACAGGTAAATCTCTGTGCTGCAGCCAACAAATTTATTTGGAACACAGTTTATGATCTAGTAGATGTAAATGTCTGCCGTGAAACTAATGATGGATGAAGGAAGGGAACACATTATCTCACAAGATTTCCAGTTGGAATAGAAATAATCTATCTTGCAAAATGTTGACAAGTTCACTTCTAATCTTAGTTAGAAAATTGAGGCTGGAGTAGATAGTGCTGAAAAATAATGGGGTGAAAATCTGTTCTAACTTTTCAAAGCATTTCCTACATCCATTCTTACCTCCCTATAAAGTGCTTAGGGAATTACAGAGCTATTCAATCACTTTCATACTAAACAGAAAAGCCCCATGTGCACAGCTTTTCTATGAACTATTTCCTGCGTTAAAGAGAATTTTTGGCTATTACTATCTGTATAAAGTAGTTCACTGTTTTCTGCTGGTACATTTAGAAATTTATTGAAGTGTGAGGGAATCTTGACTGATTCTGAACAGCCTCGCCACTGTGTTTTTCAGTGTTACCTTTTTGACATTTTTGATTGAAATAAAGAGAATACAAACCAAACACCCTTTAGCCTTCTATACAATTCACCTTTTTTTTTAAAAATGGGTCTTCTAAAGCTGCAAATGTAGGTCTATGAGAATAATCGTCAAGATAGTATTGATCTGTCCCAGAAGGATATGAAAAACTTTTTAAAGCCTATTAATGTTCATATGCCTTAGAATAGTGACCAGGGATATAGCTCTGAAACAGCAGCAGATGAGAGACATGAAAAAAATTCCGAATATTATAATATTGTGAAGATGATACCACAGCCTAAGGTATTTCCCAAGAACAGATCATAATTCTACTTTCTATCCTAAAACCTGTCCTAGTTGTAGTAGGAGATGGTGAAAGTCAATGCAGTCAATGACCTTAAATCTGACATATTAAAACAGTGTGAAAAGGTCTAATTATCATAAAGGTCATAGGATAAAAACTTTGTTCCAATTCTGTTATTTTCAGAACCAATGGAAATGTGACACCGCTATCAAAATTCCTCAGTGGCTTTCAGAAATGCTTGGTGTTTACTTTGTTGATTCAACATTGTAGAATTTATATTTCTTGAAATAAGGGCATCATAGCTGATTTTTTAACAAAAATTAAAGATAAAAATAATATATATTTAATAAAGCACTTGCTTAAAATTAATGGCAGGAAAACATTTCAAGGAGGTATGAAAACTGTCTCCAATGTTCATCCAATTTCAGAGAGCTCATTAAAACAAGAAATGAAATATTTTACAAAGAAATTATTATTTATTAATAATACAGGTCCTACAAAACAAACTGAAATCAGATTTAATTTCAAGATGTTTTATATATGGAAAATTTCACTAAAATATTTTATATGATATGGTTCTAGATAAAATTATTTAATTTCTAGTCCTTGTATAATTTTAAATAAGTGTTGGCTGAACTCAAAATATCAAATTTAGATGGAAAACAAGTTTAAAATTCTTTTAAGTTCTTTTAGATGATTGAAGCACGAAATTTCCATTAAAAAAAATCTAAAAGACATACATTTTCAATATTTCTGACTGGTAAGAAAAGTCAGATTGATATTCTTTGTTCACTTTATGTGAAATAAAAGTATCCAGTCAATAAGTCTCAGGCTTTTACTGCATCTTTTGAGGTCAGGAATAATAAATAAAAACATTTGAGCTTTTAGTCTTACTGCACAGAACAGTGTTACTTCCTCATTCTACACCTCAGCTTTCTACTTTCCTTTTCCATCCACTACACTCAGTTTTAGGTTAAACATAGACTTTACCAAGAACATATATTTCCTTGAAAGTCTTGATCACCACATGATTCCATGTTTAATGGGACATGATGTTTTGTCACAGCAATTTTACACTGGAATAACTCCAGTGATTTTGTTGACTTTACTCTTTTTTTATATTAGTGAGAAGAGATTTATTTGCAGCATTCATCAAATGGCATGAAATTTGTTTCCTAATAAAAGTTTCACTTTATCCATGTGATTTACTAACGTCAACTTTGCAAAATTCAATCACAGTGGAGGAGCATATAAGTTTGTGTTTATATAAATAGCTTCCTAAGCTCAAGAAGGTATTCTCCACAGAAGAGTCTGTGCTTCTTTCTCCATGTGTAACTGTTATAGCAATCATATAGCAATAATGAAGGACATGTATTTCCTGGTATGTCTTTGAGTATGCTTCAAATGAAGAGATAAATTTCAGAACAAACATGAATAATGTCTATAAAAGATAAAGCATTTGCAAAAACAGATCATCTTTTTCTCCAAAGAAAGATGCATTTGGGGTAGGGAGTAGATACACTCTTGTTTGCTTTTGAAGAGTTACTTTCTAAGTGAACAGTGAAGAAGCAGTTAAAAATCAGTGTGGTTCTCTAGACCCCAAAAGGGTACTCTTGAGAACCATTGCAGTCCTCCACAACAATTTGACTTGAGATGATAGTTTGTTTCAACATCTAAGTTACCATTCAGATATTTTTCTGTAATAGAAATACACTACTGGTTTCACCTTCTTGAATGGAAACTTTTATGTTTAAAAATGTCATTTCTCTCCATCAACAATGACTGATATTTTACCTAAAATCCTCATGTATTACAGTAAGAATTTTTAGGAAAGTATTACAGCATCAATTCAGAAGATGTAAAAACTAGACAGGTGTTTTAAGTACCCTGTCCATTTTCACCGCCTATTACTCATTTTCAGTGACTTGAAGATACCTTCGCAAATTCACTCTAACTTCCAGAAATTTGACTTACTGATATCAAATGCTTACTTTCAGATATCAACATGGCAGGAGAACCAAAACCATACAGACCAAAACCTGGCAACAAGCGGCCACTTTCAGCACTTTACAGGTAAATGAGATTTCACTTTAACTTACTCCAGTAATTATGGTAGTCTGAATTGTATCTTCTAGTGCCACTATGCAATATTTACCAAAATTATAATGAAAGGCATAGTAAAATTTTAAATCTGTCATTTACTAAATCTACTGACAAAAAGACTGGTGCAGTGATCTGGGAAGTGTTTATTAATGCTCCCACTACTAGTACTACTATGAATAATTTTTTGTTTTGGTTTTGTTTTGAGTGCTATTTCAATTTTAAATCTTTATGCTTTATTGCTTGGTTATGGCCTCATTTTTTGTGACTTTTTAATTTGCAGCAATCAGTTGAAATAACTAATAATTTCAGAGCAACAAAACTGTTGACAGATTTTTCTGTCAAGGGTGAAAACCAAGTTCTGACAAGACAGGACTTCTTCCTTGGCTGTTTGGGAGGGCATTGGTAGTGTCTCTCTCCTATTCCTAAGTGCCTTTTGTCATATAGTTTGTACAAACTTGAAGAAACATCCACTTTTTTTTTCAAAATCAATTAAGCTTAGGGAAGCTTTACAGATTGTTAGGACTACCATGCCCACATGTATTTCTGCTCCATAAACTTCACTTCTCATAAAAGTACTACAGAATTTATTCTCCAGATCCATGAGAGGAAATAGGGTTGATTTTTGCTGTAGCTGAAATGCAGATAGACTGGCTCTGAGACCAACATTGAAGTCAGACACAACTGAACAGGATTTTTCATGCCTGGTCTGGTCTGAAAATTCAAGAGTGGGATTTCAGAATGAGAAAGCCAGGAGCATTTTAGATCTGAGCATCCATGCTACATAGAAGTAATTTGAAGTTTTAAATAGCTGCTCTTAGCTGAAGTGATAGAAATATTGTTTTTTGAGAAGAGAATCCCTGTTTGATCACTACTCTCAACTGCAAGCTGCTAAACTCTGTAAGTGTTACTGGTAGCCATGGTCTACTGTGTCCCTATGCCAGTATTTCAAAAGATTTTGGAAGACATTCTGTGATTTCTGACATTTATATGCACTTCCACCTCTGAGCTTCTGAACTATTTCTCATAAATACTTGTTCTACAGACAAGACAGGGATAAGAGAAAGACCTGTGGAAAGTTCTGAGGGAACTTTAAAGAGAAAAAAAGATCTTAGATTTTGTCTTTTCATGGATGTAGTACAACCTATTTCTCAAGAAGATTATGAGAGGCTTTTTTGAGAACCTAAGATAATCCTTCCACTTTCCCCCTCATCTTCATTCTCCCCCTCTACTCTGACCTTGTAAGACCTCAACTGGAGTCCTGCATACTGCTCTGGAGTACTAAGAATAAGAAAGTCACGGACCTGTTGAAGCAGGTCCAGAG